TTATAAAGTAATTAAAAAATTGCATATCACATTTATGTCATTTGTTTACTGCTGATTGTTTTTAGCATTTCAATTAAATTATTTTAATTTATTAATAATATTAAGTGTATTTATATATATATGTATATACACACACCTTTTTAATATTAATAGAATTAATATAATATCAAATCTGACACAATTTAAATACTAAAAAAGTATACAATCAAGATTTTGTGTATATATATATATACATGTAAATATATATGCTAAAATATATTGAAATGCTAAAAAAAGATGCCCTCCAGCTTTTTATGTTTTGTTCAATTAATTTGTCTAATTATATTTTATATTTATATAATTTCAGATTACATCTGATGTTTTTTAGCATTTAAATTATATTTTGAATGCATTAATATTATTAATAATATATTAATTATTCGTTTATTAATTATTAATATATTCAAATAATTTCCATTTGGAAGTTTGCTGACATCCCCTGGTTGAGAACCACTGCTCTAAATATAGTGCATGTAGATATTGTTATGATAGTTCTATGTTGTTTTCAGTCAGAGTTGATTGTCACAGTTGGTGGCGCTAGAGAGCAGACGCTCCGCAGCTCTTTGTCTCTCTGCTCATGTTATTAATTTCTTTTTAAATCGTTTATTTCTCACTTAATCACTTTTTGTGGTGCTCTGTGTTGTGGTTGCATGCTCGCTGAGAGATTGTGTGCATCTCTGTGAAGCCTCGTGTTTGTGTCTCTGCTTTAATTCGTTTAGGATTAATTCCATCGTCTTCAGAGACAGTCCTAATTCCCTATTATTTCCACTTCACAAACACAGTCTTATCCATCAGTCCCTTTGATTATTTCTTTGTTTTTGCTAAGACATCACACGAGGTTAGTGATCTAAACCAAACACTAAAAGTTGAGTGTAAGAGCAAAACAGCTGAAATAAATCCCACACGATGCACATCGAAGGAAACCTGTCTAGAAAGCAGAAGAATATTTTCATATCAGTCTGGGGAAAAAACACTTAGAAACCATTTCGAACACCTGGCAACCGCATAGCAACCCACTAACATTCCAAATAGCAACCAGATAAACAATGTCCAGACAAGACCAGCATGTGTTTTTGAGCGTGTTTCCTGGTTTCTTTATCTTGTTGTTTGTTTGACACTCAGATGGTGCTGAAGATGGATGACGTGATGAAACAGGAGTGATTCACTCGTTTAACACTCGTCCGCTCAGTCTGTCATCTCATCTGACAGCTGTCAATGCATGCGGCAACAACAACAACAACCATCTCTGTCTTTCTCTGCTGCTTTATACTCCTGCTCTGCCTTTGAGTGGAGATCAGAGTGTAGATCACACACAAAATAGAATGAAATTAAATAACAGTGTAGACTAAACTAAGAAAGCTGCAAATAACACATTTAAACAAATGGGAATGAATGGCGGTGTGTCTCCATCTCCTGTGGCATTCTGGGAAACTCCCCGCCACAGGCCTGACATTTCTGCTTGGCCACACATGTTCCCAGCTCTCCCTCCTGCTTCGGCGTCTTCAAAGATGCCCACAGTGTCTCTCTCTCTCCTGCCAACACAACACACTGTTACTGCCGCACACTTTACCCACAATCCCCCTCTACACTCACTGAGAACTGTTCAGCTCCTCCACTGCTCCTTATAAAGAAAAAAAGTGTGTTTTCATAATCTCTGAATGAATCCCTGCTGTTTTTTGAACATCCAGTCAGTTCTAATCACTTTTTTTCACTTTGAATGTCCGGTTTCACTCAGAAATTCATCAGGCTGTGGAAGTAAAGCGGGTCATGAATGCAGTTTCATGTTGACTTTAAGACAGAAGTAGAATCAGCTGTACATCTGAAGATTATTTTGTTCTGTCTGCGTGTGATTAAGAAGAAACGGTCCTGAGAGGCAGAGATGTTAACTGAATCCTAATTAGAACAGAGAGGATTCTTAAATAACACCATTAAATCTGAGTGTGACAGATGGAGTGGATATAGAGATGTACAGATCATTCTTTTGCTTTCCTTCCATAATCCATAATAACGCTTCCTCCAGTGAAAAAGTGCATCTGCTGTTGTCTCTCACATCAAAATCCAGCCACCCATTTGTTTAGAACTGTTTAAACGCTGCTTGATCTGTGCAGATTTCTCTCCTGATTCAGACCAGAACACTTTTTCACTGGAGGAAGCGTTATTATGGATTATGGACTCTATGTATTTTAGTTAAAAGCGTCTTAATGCTGGATTTGTTTCAGCTTTTGTCTTCTCCAGACATTAACTGATG